GATTTTCATTGCCAAACATTCTGGTTCATGAAACATTACTCTTGGGACCATACTAAAAGGAATGTACCAAGAAAGTATGTAAGGCTGCTTAACATAATCATGATGATGACATCATTGTTATATGACGTCATGAAATAATAATTTCCAATTTTTTTCCACACAAACACCGAATTCTTTGCAGTGAGACAAATCCACGGGTCAATTTTTTGATCGGATTGTTTGAAGGGAACTTTAACGAAAAGCATCCGGTACTGTTCATTTTAACGAAAAACCACATTTTTACACTAAAAAGTCAATCCTGGTACTATTCACTTTACCCTTTATTTTGTCCTTATCATTCAAACTCAAAGTTTTCAAGCCATTTTCATTAGTTTTCCTTTGTTTGAATGTATTCGCACACAATAATCTATGCCAAGTCACCCTAAAACCCCTTTTCATTAAATATACTAGCAGATGAGCATACATTTTATGTGTGTAAATAATTTCATTTTAGTTTTTGTTATTGATTAAGAAATGTGATTAGTTCTTAAAATTTTAAAAAGAGTATGGAATAATGATGATGAGACAATTTCTATTAATAAGTGCAAAATTTTCTTTATAATTACTATTTTGTCCTCCTTATGTAAATAGTGTGTATAAAAAGTGAGGGTAAAATAGGAAAAATAGATATATGATTGTCATTTTCTAAAAAAATGAGGGTAAAATAGGAAAAATAGGGATATGATTGTCATTTTGTCAAAAGTTACAAAATTAAAGCCTCTTCAACCGCCCATCTCCTCTCACGTTCTCCTCAAGTGCAACTGCTTCAGTTCATTCAAACTATCCAAAAAACATCATGATTTTACTTACCTATATGAAAAAATAATGGTGGGACAATCATCACTCAATCAAGGTCAAAAGTGATCAAAATAGGTATTTATCCAAAAAGTATTTCATCCATCCTCATCAAATCCTCCCCACAAGGTAACCTCTAAATATTCATTCAAAATAGGATTAATTACCTAAATTAATTAATTATTTTAATTTCCTAATTGATTGCAAGATATTATGGTAACGTAATATCTTGCAATTACACCCTAAAACCACAAAATGTGGCTGTGGATGCAAATTTCCGCTTTCTTCTTCTTGGACAAAATTGCACCTACAAAACAATTAACACCTTAGGTCAAGGCCAAGAGCCTCACGCGCCCACGATGAATTGGGGGGCTTTGGCCGAAAAACCTCCGATGCCAAAGGTAGAATTTAGAGAGAAAAGTATTTAGAGAGTTTTTGAGAGTTTTACAAGAGTGTGGACTTAGCTTTTTAGAAGAAATAGGGTCCTATATATAGGGAATGAGGTGGCCGGCCCTTAGAGGATTTTGTGTGAAAATGGTGATTAATTTGGTGATTAATAGATTAATTAGGAATTAATCCATTAATTAGCCTAATTAATCTAATTTGTATGGAGGGTTTTGAAGGTTATGGAATGAGGATGGATGAGATAAATTTGAACTTGTTACCTATTTTGGGTACTCCTGATTTGGTTGATGGATGATTCTCAACTGCTTGTATGTAGGAGACCCGGTGTGCCTCGAGGGTAAATTTGTCATCTTCACCCAAAAATCCACGTGTCACCTTGTGATTATTTTTGGCTCCACGGTGCCTAGTTCCCACCTCTCCAAAGAGGGCCGGCCACACCACTCCATTTCTCAAAAAACTTAAGTTGAATCCTCTTGCAAAATTCTCTAAATTCTCCAAACACTTTTCCCTCAAAATTTTAACTTTGGCATAGGAGGTTCTTCGGCCAAAGCCTCCCCTCCCCATTCATCGTGGGCACGTGAGACTCTTGGCGTTGACCTAAGGTGTTAATTGTTTTTGTATGTGCATTTTTGTCCAAGAACAAAAAGGAAGAAATTTGCATCCACAGTAATCACATAATCTGAAACAAGCATATGTATATTATTGATGAAGCTAGCTGCAACGGATCAATCTCATATATATGCGGATCAATCTCATATATATGCATAAAAGGAGAACGGAACATGCTGCTAGTTAGAGCGCAGATCGTTCCATCTCTCCTGTGACATAATGCCCTCAACCTCTTTTATATTTTCTTTGTTTCTCTATTCAACGTATATTAATGGCTTCAAGAGCTTAGATAACCCCATATTTATAGCCATTAACCTAGGCCAGTATTTCTCTATGTACTAGGAGTCGGAAATGTTAGGTTTTTTCACAATGCAAGGAAATTACTTATACAATACCACGAAGTTTGTTTTAATTTGCAAGGAATTTTCCTGTGATTAGATAAAGTGGGATAAATTGCATACGCTAATGAAGTAATTAATCATTCTTTAAAATTAAATACGTTGTTTAAAGTTTGGAACATTGGCCTTACCATACACATTAGAAACTCTAGTAATTTCCAGGGGGTTCATTTTCCCATTGGAAAATAATAAAAAAAAAAAATTACAAGCACAATTTCCTCGAGACTTTCATATAAACCTCCATGTCCAGTAAAAGAAAAGGAAAGAGATGTTAGACTCTTGTTTTCTTTTCTAATATTGGTCGTATATTAGAACCGATCCCAGAATTTAACTTGTACAAGAGTATTACTACAACAAAATGCATGGTTCAGCGATGAAAATTTCACTCAAGAAATTAGAAAGTTCTCATGACTAAAAGTTGTTGTGACAATTTCGTCGTTAAACATTTATTTAAAAATAAAAATTAATGTCGAATCGTAAATTGTAGTGACGCTAATTTTTAAATCAATCACTTGCTTAATTACCTATATCTGTCAAAGACTAATGACATACTTTATATTAATCTTGGAATCTAGCCATCAGCCGGCCAATCATGTATATATGATACTTAAACTTTGGGGAGGGTCTTAGGATTAAGAACAAGTGAGAGGGAGGTGAGATCAAAGGTGAGGCAGGGTTAGCATAATAAATTATGAGGTAAAAAAAAGTTGGAGTTTCATCATAAAATTAAGTGGCAATATGGTGAGTAGTCCCACCTCTTTATAATGTTTCTCCCTTTATCGATGTGAGACTCTTTTACCTTCACATCCTCACACGCCCCATAAACGACGCATGGTGAAGTTTCAAGCCAAACACGTGGATAACACGAATTAGGTGATGTGGAACACGTGTGGCCGTTGGGCTTCACACATGAGCCAATGTGCCATGATATCATGAAGAAAGTTGGGGTTCTACAATAAAACCAATTGACAATATAGGGATTAGCCAACATCTTAGCCTTGACAAAAAAAAAAACCTCTTATTATAAGCCCTTATAAAGTTTCTCCTTTCACCGATGTAAGACTCTTTTATCATGCACATCCACAGAGAGTGGGGTTGTGGATATATTTTGTAATTTGGAGCCACACACACACGTAATCTGATTGCCGGACCACAGAATTTCTTTCAACTTTAAAAGGAAATGATAGACATCTCAACCCCTCCTCCACGGTGCTTCATTTGTTATGGACAGTGCTAATTTTTGTGCTTAATATTCCACATATACGATCTGTAAGCAATCATGCAGTCTGGTACAACATTCCTCAAATAGATTAACAAGTACGTACGTATTTTATACACACACACACACTGAACGAAGTCACGAAAACATATGGAATTACTAAATGCAGGAGGTGAGGAACATTTGTAGTCTCTCTTTCTAAATTTATACATTTTCAATCAGTTTTTTGTCCAATGGGAAAGCATGAACAACTAGTAAGATTCCTAGCAAGATCGTCATGCATGCACTGCGAATTCATGGCAGTTTCCTTAAAGTAATAGCGTAGGAAAAACGGCCGACTAGCTAGCCAGCCCTGCTTATAAATATATTGCAAGGGCCCTTCTCTTGTGAAGCCATGAGGAGACACTGAAGAGAGATCAAACACTATTACAGAAGAAGAGATTTATTAAAGACGTTGGAGGAGATACCTGTCGCAGGAGAGATGACAAAAGTTGCGATATATTATTTATAGCAATTAGATAATTAATTGGGATATATCGAGACGCAACTTATATCACTCTCCTGTAACAGATGCCCCCTCCAACCTCTTTCTGAAGCGGCACGCATATGTGTATTGATCTGTCTGATAAACAAGAGGAGGGGGAAGGCCAATTAGTGAAGAAGTGGTAAACCAACTCTCTATCATTATTTGTTAATTGTTTTAAACATACATGAAACCCTTTATTTCTTTATGCATATGTACTAATTTCTTTATTCAATTAAAGAAAAATGCAGCATTTTTCAAATTCATTGAGAAGGAGAGAGGCAGAGAGGCATCTCTAGAGAACTGATGAATTAAGAAAGGTTGGGAGATTTATGCTCACAAGAGAGATGGCACTAATTGTGCTCCAACTGCATGCAATTGTTGCCATCTCTCCTCCGACCAAAAAGCTCTACACAAGTGCTACAACTTTGATCTTTCTCTATGACATTTTGGGTTTTTTTTGTTTTTCCGACATGATTTTTATCTTGTGGTTGTAGATTATCTGAATAATATACTATCAATTAATTATGCTTGTCTTTGTCATGGTATGATTGTTTTAGTTAGGCATCTACATGTGGATGCCATACATTGTTAATTAAAATAGGCCCATCTTGATTAAGATAATCTGATGTGATTGATCTATAACCACATTAAAACGTGGATTAAAAAAAAGATCATTCTATTTGGAGCTTACATATAATAAATTCGTATTAGATGATGGAATTGGCGGTGATCTCATATATATTGCAGTACTTGGAGTAATTAAGTTTCAAAAATCATTCAGATTACATCAAAAGATTAGGGCAGTAAATATGATATATTACTGATCAACTAATAACAGTAGTTTTGCAGGTCGATTTCATCTCACAACTGTTTTGCAATGACAAATTTCATGAATAATTCATCAACTCATATGTATGAGTCTAGGGTTATGTCTTGAGTATAAAATAAATATATAGTACTGTTGAGATCATATGATCACATAGTTTATATTCGTTTCATTAAGTTTATATATAATATGTATTTATAAATAAAGCTGTACTAAATATGTGTTATATATTTTTCATGACCATGAAGCTTTAATAATTTTTGTGAGAGAAATTTGGAGTTTATATGTTAATTTGTACCTTATGAATTACAGTACTAGTACCACTTTACAGAAAGGAAAATGAAGAAATACTATACTGCCTCTTTCATGCCTATATATAAAGCTGCATCATGAGGATTTCGGAGCCAGCAGATTGAAAAACAGTACTAAAAGCGAGATCAAAATATCAAAGCGTAGGGACTTCTGTCGAAGGTGAGATGGTGCCGAAGGCCATGTATATTGGTAGCTGCGATTACAAGCTTTATATAGCTAGTCAATTCAGGCCAGCGAGCTTCATCCCTCCTCGACTGAAGCCTCTCACGCTTTGATTCCACGGAAAAGAAACCCATGTTTAATTTCTTCGCAAGATTGGAGAAAGATCAGGTGAAGTAGTATTACTTTACCCTTTTTTTCGTATTTTGACGTTGCGATATTACTGTACTGTAAGATTTTGTTTAAGAACTAAACCAATCTCCTTGGATCAAAGGATCATGGTAAGTGCTTATATACATGCTAGGGATCGAAAAGACAGGAAGTATATGTGCCGAAAAATACAAGAAAAAGTAATAAAAAAAAAAAGTACCTAGCAAATGTTTTTCCTCTCCTTTTTGCTAGATCTGGCCACCTGCGACGTCCACTTCTACATAGGCAACGGAGAAACGCACGGCCCGGTCGGTGGGGGTGTTGATCATTAGCTTGCTAGCTTGAAGGACTCAAGCACAGATTTCTTCTGAGAAGGGTATATTACTTGTCCAGATGAAGGCTGAAGGATGAAGAGCTAATTGAAGATCTTCTGTTCACAAGGTTCACCGCAAGTTTTGTAATTTAACATGGATTGCAGTACTAATTAGGACTTAAAAATCATTTAAGCCTGCAACTGGTGTTTTTCTATTATCTTTTTCAAGCTTTGGAGATGGCCTCAAAGCCTTTTCCCCTTAGTTTAATTATGGTTTGACTTCCACCAAATTCATCTAATTTGGGATTCGGACCGTTTAAATTTGATCTAACGGCTACAAATAAGGAGATCCTTTAAAAGTTATAATAACTGTAGCCGTTGGATCAAAATCCCACGTCCCGGATCCCAAACTAGGTGGATTTGGTGGAAAGGGATCCAGAGAGGATCCTTTTCCTGAACTTAGACCATTTCCAATGAAGAGGGGTAAATGTTCAAAAGCCAAAAAATGACATGATTTATTCAAAAATTCATCTCCAACTGATAACTGGGCTATTATTCTATAGAGTCCACTAGGCCATTATTTGGCCAAAGGGACATCGGGTTGGCCAAATGTAGCCTCCCTCTTAGCCATTTTTTAGGGCTCAGCTTCTCAATTGCAATGATTGATTCAAATTCAACGGCTATATTTGAAAACATCCAAAGGTATTTTAACTAAAATAACCAATAAATTTAAAGTATAAACTTCAAACTAATAAATTATTAAGGGGCTAATATAGCCCTTTCGGTTGAAGTTGGTATATGAGTATGGTCTTACACTGTCTATTTTTAAAAATAATTTTTTTGCAAGGCTATAATTCTAAACGGAGCTATATTTAATCATTTTGGTTGGAGATGGCCTTATAGGAAGCCTTTAAAGAAAGTGATTCCTATTTATTATTATTATTATTTTTACAAAAATGGGGATTAGTTATGCTACTACACCGCATCAAACTTTAATGATCCAAACCATCTATTTTTTAAGTTTCACCTCATAGATCTATTTTTTTTAAATAATTTTTTTGCAAGGCTATAATTCTAAACGGGGCTATATTTAATTATTTTGGTTGGAGATGGCCTTATAGGAAGCCTTTAAAGAAAGTGATTCCTATTTATTATTATTATTATTTTTTTTTACAAAAATGGGGATTAGTTATGATACTACACCGCATCAAATTTTAATGATCCAAATCATCTATTTTTTTAAGTTTCACCTCATAGATCATCATTGCAAAATATTAACTATATCGGAAATATTTGACACATCTAACTGAGTTCAAAGAAATTAACGAATACTTTGTTCTCTAAGAAACATCGAAATTTCATCATGATAAATTAAATAGGCAAATGATTTTGGATTGACTTGAATTTTTGTAAGGATGATTTATGAATCCAGACTTACAAAATAGACGGTTCATATCGTTGAAGTTCGATGTAAAATGAGTCCCACAACTAATCCTCATTTTTAAGAAAATAAGAATCTCTTCTCTTAAAAGTTCTGCGTACTTACATATGTACATATATGTGTACGTATATGTTGTAAAACAATATCTTTTTTTTTCCAGTGTTGTGTTCCGTACATGTGTGTGTGTGAGAGAGAGAGTTATCCCTGAACGCACAGTTTCTTGTATAGCATATGATTCTATTAAATGGTGATCCAATTTGATTTGGGTACCAATGATTTCATGATATATACTTTTAGGAGTTTCTTTTTCTAGGGTTGGGAGCTTCTCTCTCTATCTAGCATGCTGGGTGGTGGTGGTGGTGTCATGTGTCAATTCATACTCCTTATCAGTTAAGTTTTTGTTTACTTTTTTGTTAACTTATAAGCATTTAGCTGATCTTCATTGCAGCCGAAAGTTTTCTCTCTTTAATTATTTCAGTGCGCGGTAATTTTTTTTTTAAATTAATAGATGGTAAAGAGGTAAATCTAAGCTGGTCATGATGAAGTTTTAACGAGGCATTTACTCTAGACTAGTCATACTCTTGTATTCGCTAATGATCATCTTGAATATGTGAAACATTGATCTCCTACATTTAATTAACTTTTTTTCTTCCTTTGACTACTATAATACCACAGCAAGGGGTTTTATGATTTTCTTTTGATATGCACCTCTACTTTGAGACTCGTGTTAGCAACTATTTGTACTTGTTGAGAACTGACGACAACAACTGTTATCTTTTAATAATAAAGTCCTGATTCGACTACTTCTTAAGTTGTACACACTTAAGGGGAGTGTTGTAATTAGTGTGTTTATTTAGAAATGTGATTGTGTACATGTAAACTTAAATAGAATTCCAATAGGAGTTGAAGATCAAATCATTATAAGTTTTGTGTTACTTGTAAGGCAATCAGGATTAGTATTAATAAACGTACAAGGTGTGGGTTGAACATACAGTTCTCATACCCGAGCTTGTTCTCTTTCTTTGCCATCCCTCTCTCTCACCCACTCTGAAAGTTATTCTCACATGGAACTGAGTTGTTGATTTCTGATCATATGTGTTAATGTGCAGGCAGCAGAAGTTCAACTTCAAAGTGGAAATGAGTTATGTATATGTCCATGATGCACTCTTCGGCATGTTACTTTTCTGTATCCAGTTCACATGTAACGACCCAACATTTTGTTGTCGGGCTAGTTGTTAGGAGTATTATATGAATAGCTAAGATGTTGCCAAATGTCAAGAGATTAGTATTGCAGTTATAAGGCTGTTATAAGATAGCTTAGTTAGGAAGCTGTCAAAGATAGTATAAATATCCTTTGTAATGAAACAGTTGGGTAAAGGATAAGAAATATACAATACAATTCAGAAATATCTTGCTCTCTAAGTATTCTTTCAATCTCATATCTCTCTTCCTATCAATCTTCTTCTTATCTGATATATGTGTAGATTGGTTTACATGGTATCTTCGCTGGAAAAAGTATAAAGCTTTATGGTGTATCAATCTGGGATTTTTGTATATGCTTCCGCTTCTGATCGCACATATATGTGCTTCTCTCTTCTGTCTATTACTTCTTGATTTGGGGCGTTTCTGATCGAATTAAGGCTCTTCAATCTGTGTTTGATTTTCTGCACACCAAGTGTTCGACGTTTGTTCTCTGTCAATCCCGGTGAAGCAATTCCATCAAAATGATGACCGTCTCTCAGTTGCAAATCTTACAATCGTCTATTACATCTCTTATTTCCTCTGTTTCTACGTCCGTAGCCATGAAGTTGGACGATACCAATTACTTGACTTGGCATTTTCAGATGCAGCTTTTGTTGGAAGGCTATGGCATTATGAGGTTTGTTGATGGGTCTACTCCTTGTCCTTCTCGATTTTCTGATGTGATTTCTGGGGATTCTGAAGTTGTTTCTGGTTGTTCTACTGCACAAGTTGAATCTGATGCATACAAGATTTGGAAAATGCATGACAGAGCGTTGATGCAGCTCATTTCTGCAACTCTTTTGGCTCCTGCAATTTCTTGTGCAATAGGGAGTATCAGTTCTTTGGATTTATGGACTCGTCTGAAAGACCAATTTTCCACAGTTTCTCGAACCAGCATTTTCCAAATGAAATCTGAGCTACAAACTATCAAGAAAGGTAATGATTCCGTCACTTTGTATCTTCAAATGATTAAGGAGGCTCGAGATTATTTGTCTGCTGCTGGTGTCTATTTTGAGGATGATGATATTGTAATTCTTACGTTAACTGGTTTACCTTCTGAGTTCAATACCATTCGGTCAGTCATTAGGGGTCGAGATACTGTTATTTCATTAAAAGATCTTCGTTCTCAACTACTTGCTGAAGAAGCAATGCTTGAAAATATGAATGCTACCCCTATGCTTACTGATTTGGTTGCTCAACAGTCTGGTTTTCCTTCAAAGAATTCTGGTGGTTTTTCATCTCAGCATCCTAACTCAAACTATCAGTATAATAGTTCTCGAGGTTTCAATAACAAGAATAAAGGCAGGGATCGGTTTAATTCTAATAACAGGTTTGGAACCAACAAGCAATTCTTCTCCAATTCTGGCCCTGGAATCTTAGGAAACTCTCCACAACAGCTTGGTTCTTCTCCGTTGATGACATGTCAAATCTGTGGCAAGCATAATCATCTTGCAGACACTTGTCGATTTAGAAATGCTCTTGGTTCTCCAAGTTGCCAAATCTGTGGAAAACATAATCATTTTGCTGATACTTGTCGGTTTCGAAATACTGAGGTTAATTCAGGCTGTCAAATATGTGGGAATTCTAACAATAGTGCTGATTTTTGCTTCCAGAATAATTCTAATGTTTCAATGACTACCATGTATGCTCACACCAACTCTGGTCCTCAGTCTACTACTTCCCAGTCATCTATTCCATCTCAGCAAGTTTGGCTCACTTACTCGGGAGCAACAAACCACATGACAACTGAGTTGCAGAATCTGTCTCTTGCAACTCCTTATCCATCCAATGAGACTATACAAGCTGTTAATGGTGAAGGTTTAACCATATCTCATATTGGCTCCATCACTCTTCCCATATCTCATATTGGCTCCACCACTCTTCAAACTCCATTACATTCTCTGAAATTAAATTTTGTTTTATATGTCCCGAAATTAACACAGAATCTGCTGTCAGTTCATCGAATCTGCTTGGACAATAATTGTTGGTTAATATTTAATGCATTTTGTTTCTGGATCTAGGACAAAACCACATGGAGGATACTCTACAAAGGGCTGTGCAGTAATGGGGTGTATCCGATTATCTCACCAACATCCAGTGCTTCTTCAAAACGTGTCTATGCTGCTACTTACCTTGGACAACAAATTAATTCAAGATTATGGCATAACAGACTAGGTTAGCCTTCTAATCCTATAGTATCTCAAATTTTAAGAAAGTCCAGATTGTCTTATAGTCCTGATTCCTTGCCTATGTTGTGTTCAACCTGTTTGGAAGGAAAATTTACAAAACTTCCTTTTCCTGTGTCTCAGTCCAAGTCTGTAATATCAGATAAGAAGAAGATTGATAGGAAGAGAGAGATGAGATTGAATGAATACTTAGAGAGCAAGATATTTCTGAATTGTATTGTATATTTCTTATTCTTCACCCAACTGTTTCATTACAAAGGATATTTATACTATCTTTGACAACTTCCTAACTAAGCTATCTTATAACAGCCTTATAACTGCAATACTAATCTCTTGACATTTGGCCCGCTCCTTGTTTGTCCATTAAAGGGTTCAAGTATTATGTAACCTTCATTGATGAGTGTACACGTTATACTTGGATTTTTTCAATAAGCAATAAAAGTGATGTTTACCCTACTTTTGTTTCTTTGTATCAATACATTACAAATCAATTTGATGTCTCTGTGAAAACATTACAAACCGATGGGGGAGGGGAGTATATAGGGAAATCTTTTCAAGATTTTCTTTTGAATAAAGGGATTCTTCACCATATGTCATGTCCTCATACCCCTGAGCAAAACGGCTTAACCGAGCGAAA